CTACAACAACTAACTGTATCCAAACCCACAGACATAATCGCCCGCTGTCTCCCACCACAAAGCGCCACAGACCCCATCTTCGGCTTATCCACAGACGCCATATGCACAAACACCGACGTGGCCATTATGCGTGATGGGTTTCGGAGTTTCCCTTCTGGACATTCGAGTCGTACGTTGTCCCTTTTCCCCTCCCACTCTTGGTAGAAGGCTAACGCAACCCATAACAGTATCGTTCGCAGGTCTAGGGTTCCTTTCGTTCTATTTAGCAGGGAAACTGCACCTTTTTGATAAGAGGGGACACGCCGTACGTTCCCTTTTCCCTTTCATATCTTCGGGAATCAGACTCACGTATGAACGAAATGGCACACAGGGAAAAGCATGGTTATCCCTTACCCCGTTCGCAGGCGCTGCTTTGGTGGCTATTTCGCGGACTATGGATTATCGACGTATGTTCTCTTCTTTCTCTCTTCTCTTCCTTTGCTTCCCCTCCTATCCTGTCTTTCTGACCTCGCCTTTTCTTTCCCTTCCCCTCCTGCTAACCCAACTAACCCCACCCTCATCCACAGACCACTGGCACGACGTCCTAGTAGGCTCCATCATCGGCACCGTCCTCGCCTACTTCTCCTACAGACAATACTACCCCTCCCTATCCTCGGAACTCTCCCATCGCCCGTATTCACCTAGGATCAAGGATGAGCTAGATGCGAACCTGCATAGGAATGATCTCGAGTCGCCGGTGCTTATGGCGAATCAACAACAAGGTCCTGCGGCCCATCGAAGACAAGAGTCGGCGGTTCAGCAGCAGCAGCAGCAGCCGCTGACTGCGACTGCGCAGGAGGAGGATTATGAGCTTGAAGGGACGGCGCCTAGGCCCAGTGGGCCGGGGCATTTGTATGATGTGTGGAGTGAGGGACGGAAGGATGAGGTGTGATGTGATGTCCTCCCTACCTATGCTTTCAAGATTCTCGGGTTGGAAATGGTGGTGGTGGAATTGGGTTGGTGG